GGCGCGCGGCGGCGGAGCGGTGGAGGGACTCACTGCGACGGAACGACAAGGTGGACCACACTAACTATACATTACGGCCTCTACAAACAATTAGGCTAAGGATTCACGGCGTGATTTTCTCCCGCGCCCGTCGCGGTTGCAGGCCCGCAGCCGCAGTAGAATACAGATACCTACGTACGTACGGTACGTAAAAAATGTAATCCCATTTCACGGCGCCTTTTACCCCCGCGGCGGTGAATTTTAAAAATTCCGCCTCCATCCCGCCATCGCGGTGGCCGCGGGAAAAGATTGCGCCGTGAGTCCTTAGCCTTACTATTATATATTTTTTTTACATGTATATCTTTGTCAATAATTATGATACACCACGTAATGACATCTGTCAATTGAACTGATGTCGAACTGTTGTCTACAATGAGTGTAATGTCGACAGGTCCACTGGAGTCGCGCCGAGCCCAAGCCCGCGCCACTAGACAGGTAACTACAATACTGTATAATGTTACTATTCACACTACAACGTATGTAATCGTGAACACTTACATACTAATATACTACATACAGCACAGAAATGTACAGTGAAGGGTCAAAAGTCCACTGCCACCGTGAGTGATGTAGATATGTGTGAGTGACGTCATGTCTGTACATACAGCGCGTACACACACACAGGTATGTGTGTGTGTGTGTGTGTGTGTCGTGGCCCTGGACTCGGGACCTTGGACCGGACATAAACACACATACAACATTCGAACTGTATTCACTATGAATTAAAATTTGACGATTTTAAATCTGGGTTCCGCTGTTAAATTTAATTTGTTTGGTGTTTTTATAACGTTAAAGTAATCCGTTCCATCCCGGTCCCCAGACGCTACCCCCACCTGCAGTGTCCGCCCACGTTCCAGCCGGAGACATACTCGCTCCTGCGTCCGCCGCAGCACTGACGGCCAGGACATGCAGGACATGCAGTACATGCAGTACATGCAGTACATAAACTAACAATACGCGCCCTACAAATGCTTACAAACTATGAAGCCTGTCCTCGAAGCGGCAACGTTAAATCCGCCTTTTTTTAAAAAAATGTATACATTCATCAAAAGACGCGACGTGGACAGTGGATCGAACATACATACACACGGCGCCGACAATCAATTCTGTCGGAAAATATTTCCTCACCAACTGCGTACGTTCAAATATTATGTAATTGTACATAACTAGAAGTAACTACCACACCAGTTGTCTAAGACATTGTATCACACTCAAGTTACAGAACATATCTATCGCTACATTGTATGGTACATATATAAGTGTGTCGCATTCCACGAATTTTATAAAAATGGCATATTTAATCTGGACACCAAGCTAAAATTTGTCGAATTATTCAGTATATTATACTATATTTTTTTGAAATATTAAATACGAATGAGTCATCATCTAATTATAAACTTTACTGTATCCATCATATTCATAAGTGACGCGCGACATTGACTTCTGACATGTTGTTCAACGCAAATTGGTTCACAAATCAATAGCTTGATGTTTTGATAATATTGACTGACCATGATGTGCCTTTAGCCAAATGCCATTTAGTGCTTGTCTACATGTAGAATAGAAAACCACATTATATGGAATTGACGTAAATTTTGACACTTGTCAGTGTCATCCCCACACATTTAGTTTTCTACTGTCTCTGTAGACAAGCGCTAAAGTGGCATTTGGCTAAAGACCCAGGTATCACTTGATTGGTTTGTTAACAAATGGCTTGTATATTTTCGTTAATGTAATAGTTAAATCTGTTCCTAACTATTGTAATTTAACTTTTTTCTGTTTTATTCCAAGTTATTCGGAATCTGCGCCCACCGATACTTTCTTGTTTCATTGGATGGAATGTCAGACGTTAATCTTTCCCCTTCACATCATTCCTCACACAATCTATACATTTTTTCAATCGTCTCCCTTGTTTTCATCCTTATAATTCGATATCTGTACTCATGCGACACACTTATACAATGATCAATTTAGATTGTAGTACTTACGAAAAATGTAGGCGCCTATAAAAATAAAATCATGCTAATTGTTATCTTTAAAACACACTAGCGACATCTGTGTTCTGAGAACACCTCACGGTAATGTCAGTAGAGCGCGCCGGGCCGCGGGACTACGCTGCTTTTATATACTTTATTGTATGTACAAATTGTATAACGGAAAGATAGGCTACGAGTTATATTGATATAACATTATTATGTAAATTGGTAAGCAATACACACGAGGCACTTCCGTACCGCCTAGGTACCCTGTAATTGTAACATAAATTATATGATATCCAAATATTAGATAGGTACTTAATACTCTTTACTTATTAGATCTTAGGCATAACAAGGGCGATTCAAGCAGAACATACCATCTGAACAGATGTGTCGTAACCAAATCACTTTGCTATTACAATAACAACAACAGAACTCATTCAATTATACTGAGGATAAGAAAAACTATTTACATGTAGGTAGTAATCAGTTATATATATAAGTAAGTATTAGATAGTATAGAGCCCAAGGACTCCCAGGTGCTGAGCGAGGCTGGCGCAGTGCGCAGTGCTCCGTGTACAAAGTCGGACAAGGCTGAATCAGATATTTATATCAAGTAGATAGATATATTGTGCACACGTTACTTCAATCAATGTATGTTTTATACAAACATGGCTTCCAACGCGATCTTTGTGTCTGACATTATTCTGTTGACATCGCAGACATAAAGAATGTTGATCTTGAAAAGTTTAGATATAATGAAATATTGTTAATTTTAAAAGAAGACTGTATGGTGCATGGTTTCGCACAAGTGCTGCCGTCAACTGCGCATACAGTACGGCCCCAATGAAATACTGTAACTTGTGGGTATACGTTATACATATCGGCTTCGGTTTGATTTAAAATCCTTTTTGTATAAACTACTAGCTCTAAAATTATTTGTGAATAGGGACATACTGTTAGAGCGCAAGTAGATGGGCGTGCAGTGAGTGACGTCATATCTGCTAGTTATACAAACGACTGGGATGGCTACACTAGTACACTGCCGCGGGCCGTCCTGTCAGCAACGCTAATATTTTTGACTAGCCGACGACTGTTCTGAGGAATTTGATTTTATTATGTGATAAGTATAATATTGTCGACATAAGTAATACGTACGTATTTAAGTTATCATGTACGCGTCCACTATGTACGTACGTGTGTAATACTTACAATGTTACGAACGGCTATTAAATATATTTTATACAAAAATGTCATTTTATTCATTGTACCCTCATTGCCTGCTCCTGCATTGTTGCTCCTTATGTTCATTGTTGCACTCGGGATCATTATTAAATATACCTAGCTATCTTAGGTTAAATTTTACATTAAAGTTTAATGTTTAATATCGTCATAAAATAACAATTAGTGCAAACAAAACGTTTGTACGACACGATGCACGCTACTCGTCGTGGCTGCTGGAGATACCAACTACTAATGTGAGTTAAATATTTTGTTGCTGTAACCGTTCTACACTTTAGCCATGCAACTATATACAAATGTGGCCGAACTATACAGATATTGAGCTTTATATAATGGATATAAAGTTTTCAATAACTACATATTATACTTCACTTAATTTCAATTGCCTCATTGGCCGAGTTGTCGCAAGTGCTACTGCCCGGCAAGGGGTCTCGGGTTCGATTACCGGGTAGGGCAAAGTATTATTGGGTTTTTAAAAAAATCACGGTAGTAGCACGGAGTCTGGAAGTGTGGCCGGTATATGGCACCCCTATTACATGGGACTCATAACATAAATAGTGGAAAGTGAGTGTTACATTATACAGTGGCATAATGTACACCTCTGCCTATCCCTTCGGGGATAAAAGGCGTGGTGTTATGTTATGTGTTATGTTTTTCTCAATTCTAGAGCTTTAACTTCGTGCTCCATTGTAGACTGCATCATCGCTTGCTGGATGCGAGAAAGCGGCCAAACGTCGGCCCATCAAATAAAAAAAATGACTTAGGTACATAATATGTACCTAAGTCATTTTTTTACATATTATGTACCTTGTTGAGAGTACCTACTTACCTAGTTGTAATTGAAGATTTAGGTGTAATTTATATGAAGTAGGTACCTATATGACTGGTTACAGTATTTTAGAATTTTGGAAGAGCTCTGCATCTATAATAGTACAACATGCATTTCACTCCCAGTGGCGGGAGGTAGCTGAGCATAGTGAGCGTGTACTCGTTTTGCAGGAGTTACGTGACGGGCAGCTCCTCCCCTCGCGCTGCCCGGCCTTGCCCTCGCAATCCAAATCCAAATAAATAATATATTATGTATACATACGTATAAATTGGATCGAGAAGCGATTGCTCGGCTCCGCGGGGACTTGAATTACGGTGAAGACATTCACCTTAAAATATTGGCCGCGCGCGCTCGATTTATGTAAGCTCGCCGCGCTTGCGCAGACGAGGTTGGGCCACCACGACCAGCTCAAGGAGCTCCCATCACATCGTCGAAGCCACCAACTGAAATGTAGTTTATATCACACATATTTACTTCTATGTACCTAATTCATATATCGATTTCGTTTTAGTTCTTTGCATTTTATATAAACCCACATCAATTCTCAAAAGATATGCGAGTTGTTAATTAACTCGTCGAGTACCGGTTTTGTAGACACAATTATAGAACAATAGGTTGCGGTCACCGGTGACCGCTTGGTGTTTGACAGTTTAACAGACGTCTATTAATTAACGATCGTGCCACCTCGAACACGCACTTTCAAGCCACCTGGATCACTTTCGAGCGTTACTCAATTACTTTCGAGTGTTTATTCTATCACTCAATGGCTAATCCAATTAGTCCGTTAGTACAATATTTTCAGTTAACAAATTTATATTTCTTCTATAATATTATGTGTGGAATCCCTGATCCAGTCAGTCAGGAATATAAATACGACATTCTGTAAGTTTTATGTCATTATAAAATCACTGAAACTCATAATCTGTCATAAGAGTAGGAACAATTAATGTTAGTAGGATTTATTGACCATCAACTGAAATAACTGACATTTCGCGAGTTAATCAAACAACTAATTACACTAACAACAATAAACGGAATATTAATATTAGTCATTGAAAACCCACATTAAGTAATTTTTGTCTGTTGAGGCCAGGATTTGCCGATCCCACTCTCAGACCACCGAGGCACCGGTGTAAAACGGGGAGTGCTGACAGTACTGCTGTTCTGTTTTTTAAACTATCTTTTTTATTTTTTGACGGTGCAAGTAAGCTGTTTTTCTTTTTTTTTCTTGTGTGCTTATAAAAACATAAGAAGTGAATGATATAATCGAGTAAATGTAGATGTATGACTGTTTGTACTGGGTACGTAACGTATAGGTCGGCGTCGCAAGCTGTGCGCTGTGCAGAGCCGGTCGCATTAATTCGACGCTCGACGACACAAAACGGCTGGGACTCATTTGAATACGCGTTTGTCTGTTGTTTAATGCTAATTCCGTATCGGGCAGGACACACGCGTCCCGCCGTCACAGCCTCACCTACATAGTGTGCGCTCCTGCGCTACGACATCCACACTCATGGATTTTGCAAAGTAAGCACCACATCGCAACTGTGTAGTGACCACACCAAGTGTTCTAACAAAATTCTAATACCTACTTTGAAAAAACGGACCACTTTCGAATGTCATAAGACAGCTCAGGTAAATGCATACATTGGGAGCATTTCATTACTTTAAATAATAACACATAGATACAGAGTCCATACATCAGGCTCGGCTCCACATAATACATATTAAATAGCCGTCAGTTCGGGAGCACTCTCGCCGATTACTACTTACCTTTCATATCAGATTTCTTGCGGCGGATAAAAAACGTACTTATCATAGGAGGCTGTGACTTATGACTCCAGTCTACATGCGAAGCTATTTCTGGAGCTTTTCACTAAATGACGAAGATTGTTATGACGGTTGACTGTGCACCTACCTATTGGTGCTCAAATCAAGGCATTTCGAATTCAAATTCAGAATCTTTATTGCTTCATGTGTCGGTAACAAGGTGCTGTACATAATACCTACATAATTATTATGGTTAATCAGTATCAACATGACCCTGTAAGGACTGCAATTTTTGTTATAATAAACAATATTTCGTTGCCATAATTATTACAATAATTTTTTTGCACTTCATGAAGTATAACTTTTTTTTTCATTTTCCTTTTTTTTTTAATAATTTTGCGAGTCTGTGTGATTCAGTAGTTGATCAGTAGTTGGTTTCCTTTACAGTGTAGTTATGTCAGTCGTCGGCATAATTTCAGTATTATGGTCGCAGCTCCAGTGTGTTCCCATCCGTCAAGCGAGACTGCTCCTCGTAGATATTTGCCGTGTAAGCTGTATCTACGTGGAGCCTGTGATACAGGTTGGTGCAGAAAATCCACCTTGAAATTAATTACATTTACCTGATAGATGGAGACGCAAGTTTTTTACTGACTAGTAAATTGAATACCTAGCATACATATTTTCAACGAATTCTTAAAATAGATATTCTGTTTTTGTTAATAAACGCTTAAAAAGCTACCTGCAAT